CATTGAGATATCTAGCAACTGGAGATTCGTTATACACATTAGAAGCACTTCACAGAGTTGCAAGATCTACGATAGCTCTATTTTTACCTGAAGTGTGCGATGCAATATATAATGCTCTGAAGGATTATATGCGGGTAAGTAAAGTAAACCAGTAATTATTAGTAAGATCAAGTATTTATTGTTTGTTTTAACAAAATTTATATTCTTAGCTTTAACACGTTTTCCATGCTTTGTTCAACAAATCTTCTTCGGGGACGGTAGAATCTGATTGGGATAACGAGTAAGGAAATGTGTAAGTGACTGTGTTTGTGTTTGTACTGGAAGGTATGAAAGTCATTGTTTGTGTATTTGTCATTGTTTGTGTATTTGTCATTGTTTGTGTATTTGTAGTAGGAGGTGTATAAGTGACTGAGTTTGTGATTGTATTTGAAGGTATGAAAGTTTGTGTATTTGTAGTAGGTGGGGGTATGAAAGTCATTGTTTGTATATTTGTAGCAGGAGGTGTGTAAGTGACAGGTGTAAAGGGAGACAAATTTGTGTACTGGTATCGGCGTCTTGGTGCAGTTAGAATTTTTTGGATCTCATTTTGTACATCTAATGCCTCGTACAATGGTAGGGCTCGCAATTGAGCTGCAACATTTTGAGCAAAATAATGGAATTCATCGTAATTAGACTGTGTATTTATAGCAGAAGAAATATTTTCCAAACGAGCGAGCGCGAGCGCACAGGTAATGGGTTCTTCTTGTAAGCTTCTCTTTCTACGTCGTGTTGACGAGCTGTTATTAGATGAACGGGATTGTGATCGATCTTCTGTAGTTGGAGGAGGGGAGGGTGATAGCAAGTTCACCGACTGCGGTGTCAACGAGTTTGAATATGAAACAGCATCACTTAGTTGTGAATCTTCCGATGACTCTTCTCTGTCCTGTATCTGTAAAAAAAAACTAAGTTTATAAAATATCAACTTCACATATTTATTGTTTTTTGTTTTACAGATTCCCGGTCATGGAGATTGGAAACGCATTGAACACGGATTAAGAACTAAATGGAACTTTCCTGGTTGTGTTGGGGCGATGGACGGTAAACATATAAATATACTCGCTCCTGATGATACTTCTGACTACTATAACTACAAGGGCGCCCATAGCATTATACTTCTGGCATTAGTTGATGATGACTATTGTTTTTCATACGTAAATGTTGGGACTAATGGCAGAGCTTCTGACGGAGGTGTTTATCAAAAATCGAATTTAGCACAAGCTTTGGAAAATTATACTCTCAATTTACCAGGCCAATCAGTTGTTGTGGCAGACGCTGCTTTCCCTCTAAAGTCATATCTTATGAAACCCTATCGAACAACTCCAACGCTTCAAAAAAAAATTTTTAACTACCGTTTATCGAGAGCCAGACGAATCGTTGAAAATGCGTTTGGTATTTTAGTAACAAGATTTCGAGTTCTTATGGATGCCATAGATATGGCCCCCAAAAATGTTGATAGAATTACATTAGCTGCCTGCTCTTTACACAATTGGCTTCGGAAAACATCTGATATGTACATCACACAAAGATGCGTCGACTTTGAAGATATACAACAACGTGTTGTNTTTGGGTGTTGGGGTTCAACCTGAACCTTCACACTCAAGAGATCGGTAACCTCGAATATATTCTTCTGGTCTCTATTGACCAAAGCAAGAACCATTGGCATTGGCTTTCCGGCACGCTTCATGCGCGTGACCGAAGTTAGGTCAAAGCCTTTGGATTCAAGCTCCTCACGAATATCATCGATCGTGAAGTGTTCTGGGACGCCCCTGAAGACGGCACGGATTTGCCGGTCTTCAGGAAGTGAATAAGTGTGGTGCGGGATGTTTTCCGTCACCAAGAGCCTTGACAACCGACGATAATCGTCAGGGGTCACAGGCTGAACCTTAATTCCATCATGTAAGTTCACAGCTTTGGAGAAGTTGATCTTCTGCTCAGCTGCTGTCTTAATTAGCTTTACCCATTTGTCTTTCTGACGAACGACAATCGGAGGGATTTTCACCTTCTTGGAAGTGGCTGTGGCAGTAGGTTGTTCGTTCTGCCTAGTTGGAGCGGGGGAGCCACGCTCCAGATCCTGAATGGCTCTGACAGTATGTTCAGAACCTTCAGTGGAACTGTCATTTTGTTGATTTGGACTGATGTCCATTTCATTGACGTCGTTGTTGTTAATTTGAGATGTGGCCACCTCGCGTGCCCGACTTCTCGTAACTGGTCGTGACGAAGCTTCTGACTCGGAATAATAATTCCGAGCCTCAGATTTAACGTTATCGATGACTGCTTTTTTGGAAATCTTCTTCAATTTCCTGGGCTTTTCCTTTCTGATCCACTCATTTACCTTGCGGCTGGACACGTCCGGGAGTGGAGGAAAATCATCAGTAATTCTTCTTTTCTTCGAATTGGAGGAGAAGGAAAAGTTACTTTCGTTGTCGGAATCTTTTAGTGAATTCTCAATTTCAGTTTGGGCATTAGCCACTCCCTGATTTTCATCCGTCAAAATTTGACGGCTGACCCCAGGGACTGGCAATGCACTGCCATGCAAATCCGACTGGCTTAGGCCGAAGCACGAGATTAATTGGCATACAATGCTAACAATCTCGGCTTTTTCCCTGCCAGCCAGACCGCGAAGCAGATCCTCCATACTGCTATGAGATTTTATGAGCGGAAATTGACACTTATCTGACGTGAGCACAATGAACAATCACGAAAAGGATAAATTTAAACGTACTCACCAGAAGTGTTGGGGGTTCTTGCGCACTACAACACGCACACAACTAACACGAGAGAACTACATCCGGTGGTTGACTAATCATCAACTATAACACCAAAATTAACGAAATTTTCGCAGCGAAAATTTATACTTGTCACTTTGACGGATCTCAATGTGACATGTATGTTATGTACAAAATATGAATAACCAAGAATTATACTTGATAGAAATAACTGCTTAAACGCAAGCGAGACATAATTGGAACCACCTATTGGTGTTACACCCAAGTCAACTTGCCAAGTTTTTATGTCAGTGTTGGTGGTTTGACCAATCAACCCAACTGCGGTAGCAAAAATTTGTAAAGCTGTCCTGGAATGCCATCTGTCAACGAATCCAAGTTGACTTGGATATCACAACAATAGGTGGTTACACTTATGCCTCGCTTGCATTTACGCAATTATTTTTTTATCAAGTACTTTTCTTGGTGATTCACATTTTATCTTCAATCGACGACCGCCTGCCCGGTACTGACGACGCACAATGGAGGTAAATACTTTTTGTCAAGGAGGCCTGTTGCGAACGTTGAGGCTAAATCGTTTCGAAATTGAATAAAGGGAATTAACCCAGTAAAACAACAATCGATATCAAAAAGAAGATGAAAGAACTTTTTGGCGATGATTCGGACGAAGAGAATTCAATTCTGGCATGAGAGAAGTTCCGTTTGAAAATGTTATCGCCGTTGAAATCGTCTCCAGGAAGAAATAAATCAGTGGAATCTCAGAAAAAGATTCTAGCATCCGTAAGAACGGGACATTCGGACATGACTGAAGGCCTACCGGCAATTCAGAAATACAAAGGTGCGTGCTTTGTACCTTGCAGAAACTATTGATTTTGGAAATTGCAAATTGATTTTGGAAGAATGGTATTTTGATGTTTAGACCACTGAACGTTTCGTGTCCTTGAAAAACGGTAAGTACTGATACTATCAATGGGATACGATGATTTTTAAATACGCGATTAGACAAGGGTAATTGAATGTTCACAAACGAATATTATTGTTATAATAAAGCGGTATATCGGTATTCAATTTTTATTGTACTACGATAGTCTGCAAAAAATAAAGTAGCAAGTGGAGAAAATTATTGTTGGCAGTTTTATCTATTTCATAGCTAAACAACACAAGGTACTCCGTACCTTGTAGAAAATATAACAGAACTAAACCGATTACCGGGAAGAGAGTGCAAAAAACTGTTTACTCAAATGGACAGGACACCGACATATCTTCGGGTACAAAGATCAAATCTGACGAAAAGGCGAATAAAAGGAAACAGGAAAGGTGTACTCATGGCTCCAAGCGGAAGAATGAACTTTGGAATCCGACGACGGAGAAATGTAAGATCCCGGCGGATGGAAGCGTACAGAAACAAAGGCTAAAGTCAAAAAAGTAAAATGCGCCTTGCTATTACATAAAAATGTGATGAGAAATTTTTCAAAGAAAAAAAGGGTAAAAAGATTGACACTGATGAATCTACTTTTGAAGAAGAATTTGGAAGTGTCTCAGAAGTTAGTGAGACTGAAATTAATGACATGGATGTATCTGAAGATGATGAAGAAATATTAGTTGTGAGAGAAAATTTTGGGAAATTGACTCGTAAACTAGTTGAAGATGACTATGTGCTTGTAGTTTTTGATGCAAAAAATATTAATGTTTATTATGTGGGCAAGATTATTGAAATTATTAATTCCGACTATGAAGTTTCATTCATGCGGCTAATTACACAGCACAACGAAAAAATATTTTTTGAATGTTTCCTACACTAAATTAGTCAATTTCTACTAATTTTGGGGTGATAAAAACGAAAATAACAATGAAAAATTTTTATTAGCTCTGGTTTTTGAGANTAAGAACAGCTGATGAGAGGGGTGTTATGTAAACAAACATGTGTACCAACTGTTGGTGATGAAATATTTCATTTGTTGAAAACTCAATACATATATATATAATATAATGATACTATATCTTGAAAACAAGAGCTAATATATAATTTTTATGGTCACTTTCGGTTTTAACACGTGGAAATACATTAAAATCATCTAATTTCAACCCCGAAACAAAAACTTTGTTGTGTTGTGTTATCGAAGAAACTATGAAGTTCGGATGCTTTTTGAGCCTGATTTGGCTAACGTCAAATTAAAGGATAATAAAATGTTTCTGCCACAGCCAGAGATTAATGGCACACAAAACCGGAACTCAACGTTTAGTTTACCGATCAGAGTTCCTTCAACTATTAACTTACGTTAGGTTCATCAATATCAGGTGAAAATATTTACTGTTTTTTCTGTTTAATAACTTTTTTACTGTTTAATACAAAAAAATATTGGTTTTGGCTGGAATAGCCATGGTTTTGTAAAATGTCCTGTCTGTATTGAGGAAGTCTCAATACTGCATCTAAGTTTTTATTAGTCTAATTATGTTTCATTACTCTAAATATTTTATTTTTGTTTATTAATCTTTGAAAGTTTACTCATAGCATTATTATATTCATAAGTATTTTACTGAAGGCACTTTGAACCAATATCTTCTTTGATTGTGAAAAATGTTTTGTGATTCATAAAGTGCCTTCAGGTTGTATAAAATTTAGAGCTATTTTGAGTTAAAGAATATGTTGTTCAAGTGCAAATAAAGACTGATTACATTGTAAAACCATATAAATATATAATATTAAAACTCAGCTTTTTTATTATATTACAAATGATTATTAAGTCTAATGGACTCGGCTCATAGGGTGATTCAATGTGGAAAATACCCCGGTTGCATGTGTACCTCTTGATGTACACATTAAACCAAATCTAGTTTTCGATAAATTCTTTTTCATGCTGAAACCAAACGGAATTTGAAAAATTAATATTCGTACAATTGTTTTTAAATAAATTCACAAACTACACACACAAAATTTAGGGCATTAATTGAAAAACGAGCGCGCTACGAGACTTTGAAATTCACCTGATTCAATGTGAGACAACCTACCCTATCTTATATAAATTGTTCTTTAACAGACAAATCTGTGGTGTCATCTGCCATTATTGTGGAAAACTTAGAGTCTTTCATTTTATTTACAATCTTGTCACACAATCTGTCACATATTCTGCGTGGTTTTGCTGATGTAACCTGGCATTCCTTCCACAATTTTTTATGTGAGACTAAAACGTAATCACTAGCGTCAACTCTAAATTCAAGCAATGCTCTGAAATTTCCTTCACCGAAACAGCTTCCAGTTGTCTCTTGAGTCCCCTCAAGGGTATGTTTTGGGCACCACATAATATGACGCTTTCAATAATTGGAATAAGCTTCCTACATGTAGTAATAACAAAAATAACAGTCAGCCATTTACTATAATATTTCTAATGGAAATATCCCGGAACCACAACCAAAATATATCACACGTATTCTGCTCGATCGACCGTCCAACCTCTCTAATTCCACTTGTCGCCTCGTAGCCTTTTTTCTCCGTTATCAGTTCGTACTCGTGAATCAGCTACTTTTTATCCTTTGATTTGCATTAGCGTAAAGGTGGGTACTGACCGGCGTTACGAGGTGTAATGTAACATTCGCATCGAGCGGGTACGCATCGAGTATGGTAGGCTGGGTTTTGAAAATCGGCGTAACATCCTCGTCAAAACTCTGTGCTCCGCTGTCGTCGGTAGTTCACTCAAGATGGCCGACAGCGAGGACGCGTTGGTATCTTTGATTCTACTTAATTATTGTTACATCCAAATTAAGATGAAGAAAAAACGTTACTGGACATCAAACTTATTTAAAAACAGAGGCGTATGTGGTGGTTTGTCATTGATAGCACTTTTAAAAAACCAAATGATTACTGA